CCACCATGTCATTTATGTAAATAAGAAACAGAAGGGGCCCAAGTACCGAACCCTGAGGTACACCTGCGCTGACATGTTTCCAGTCGGAACAATGACCCTCAATAACAACTCTTTGTTCTCTATCAGAAAGATAACTGTAGAGCCAATTTAAAATTGGACCATCTACCCCGTTTCTTTGAAGTTTAAAAATTAATCCTTTATGCCAGACCTTATCAAAGGCTTTAGAAAAGTCAAGATAAACCGCTCGGACTTCTCTGTTGGAGTCAAGAGCGTTGAAAATTTTGTCGGTAATACAAATAAGCTGGTTAACTGTCGAATCTCCTCTGATAAAGCCCGACTGAAGAGTATACAAAAGGTTTTGAGACATCAGATGATTATACAAATGTTTATAAACAATTTTCTCTAAGATTTTTGACAAACAAGGTAGCAAGGAAACGGGGCGATAGTTTGACACATCATCATGATCTCCTTTTTTATAAATCGGAACCACATTTGCCCGTTTCCAGGCTTCGGGAAAGACACCATGGCGAAGTGATAAATTAAAAACATATGCGATTTTATCAGATATATAAGGACATATTAATTTTAGGAAACGGTTATCAATATTGTCATAGCCACATGCCTTTGATACATCTAAGGAAGAGACATAAAGTTCAATCTCCTCAGGTGTAGTAAAACATTCTGAGAAGCGGACATCAGTAAGAAAATCTAGTCGAGGGAGGCTAGACTTGGAGTCATCTATAGTGGACTGGTCAGAGAAATATTTGTTAAACATAATTGCCTTTTCCCTAGAGTCGGTTACATAGGTATGACCAGACTTTAAGGGTGGAATAGTAGAACACACTTTACTACAGTAAAAGGATTTAACAATGTGCCACCATTTCTTACTGGAACAAGGAGAAGTTGTCAGTGAGTCGACGAGACGGTTGTTATAGGACGACTTAGCAAGAGAAATTTCACGTACTACTTTATTTCTGACATTACGATATAATGACCATAGTGAAGCATTGTTCAACATTTTAGCTCTCCTGTGAATCTTGTCTCGCCGACGCATTAACAGTCTAATCCTGGAAGACATCCAAGGTTTGTCTCTCGGTCTTACAGTAATGTTCTTATGGGGAACACACTTACTTTTAGCTAGGAGGATAAGATCAACCAGCTTGTAACATGCATCATCAACGCTAGAACAATAGTAAATGTCATTCCACTCAGTGTTGGACGAAAAAGTAGCTAATAATTCATGATCAACTTTTTGCACGTAGACAGCACGCAGAAGCACGTACGGCGAGTTGTGACCGTCGCTTAAGGAGATACCTCAACACATACATCTACTTGTAATTTGACTTTAATTCAAGACCATAGGAAGTCATATACGTGTTACGTTACAATGAAGGAACTAGTTTATGCAGCATTGTGTTGTTGCAAAAGCCACAACCGTAACTACCTACTTCTGTGCATGAACGGGTTAACAGTTAAGCGACGGTCACAACCCGCCGTACGTGCTTTTTGTCCGTACGTTTTTTTTGGGAGGCTACGTCTGCTACGTTTTTTCTGAAAACGTAGGGAAGGAGTGGCGTCGACGCACGTCACTCGCACGTCAATCGCACGGTTGCGCAAGGTGTATAGTGTGGTCTGCACGTTACGTCTGGCCGTGAGCGGTTGCGTGCATTGTACGTTGCGCAAGTTGTGAGTTGTACGTGCTTACAACGTATGATCTCTGTGCGATTGCAACTTTACCGTAAGGAGGCCGTACTCACACGTGCTTCTTCCGCAGGGCACGTACGGGGCACGCACGTCGCTCGTACTCGCACGCACGGGTGGTGAATCCACAGACCGCACGTAGAAAAAGTTTTACATGCCCTTAAAGGTCTACGGCGTGTCTGCGTGCTCCCAAATCCGTAGGATTCCGTACGGAGGTGGTGCTCACCACGCACGGATGCCCTACGTTTGCCCACGTTTTTGCACGTAGACAGCACGCAGAAGCACGTACGGCGGGTTGTGACCGTCGCTTTAGGATCGGGCACAGGTCTGGATAGTCTATGAGTATTCAGGAACGTAGAAGTACCCTATGCACGATTATGGACACTTCTGGACCAGAACCGTGACTAAGCATGGTTTTGGCTAAATCACGTTTATTTAGAATATTTAGTTGGTTGATGTCCTTGAAAAGAAGCTTAAAGAAAGATTGACATGCTATATTTATAGCCTTTACCTCCTATCGTACAAAATTGACAGCTGGCAAAGCGTTTATACAGTGTTTACGGATTAACGCCTCAATCTGTTTGAATTGCACAGGTGGGAAAACCTGGGGAAGACAGCTGGGAATACGTCACCAACGAAACCGGCCATGAGGGTAAGGGATTCAATTAAGAAAGAACTAAAAACAAGCTTTACACTGAATATTTCTATTTTTCAATGTCAATTCAACTGCACACATGTTAGTTCAAAATGCCTGGTACAATCCATGAATAAGTAAAAAAATACATATGACAATACAGTGAGTAAGGCTAAAGATTGATTATATTGTGATTTTCATATTGAGAAATTGTTACAACAGTGACCTTTTGCTAACTGTGAAAAGGTCTGTTATGCCTATGTCGGACATGTTGGCGATCTCCAATGTTGTCCTTACAGGTCATCACGTATCCAAGTACAGCGTCGAGCGACTAGAGTCTGGATTGAAGGTCACCAAAGTTCGGGAGGGTCATCCTGCAATGGGGGCTAACAGCGAGTCTAGGATGGAAAAGGTGACAACCTTAGTTGAACATTAGGAGTGGAACCAATTTAGGAATCTTTTTATCCGTAGAATTTTTCCACCTGCGTGAGTCTTTATAGAGGGTAATTATACATCATTGAATTGTTATTCTATGGTTATGCCATACAAATGAGAAGAGTTATACTTGCAATTGATCCAGTTTTTGTGTCCTACAAGCACTTGTATTTCAACACTGGCAAGAAATTTCCGCACCGAGTTTTCATCAAAGAGAAGGTTTCTACTCCTCGGAATGACCAGCCAGGCTTTGACATACACAAGGGAACACGGGGAGGCAGTTTCGTCAATGAACAACAGAAAGTCGGTCAGTAATATTTTGTCAAGGCTGGTTTAAAATCTTCTCATTTACAACATTTCACTAAGCATCCTTGTTTACAACATGGTACTTATTAAACAAAGAGTGTTGCAAACAAAACAAAAATGTTGCAATGAAATTCTGTCATCTTGGCACTGACGTAAATAGCATGTCTAAAAATGAATTACTGAATTAGGTTGAACCATGGTAATAGTGATTAATAAGATTCTTAAACGTATGCTAAGGCTAGAGAAAAATCAATACTGGAATTCTATTCTCTTCACCTTCTGCTTTGTCCTTTATTTTAAAACGATCAGTTTATTATTCCGACTTGTTTGAAGTAATGAGGGCCGTTATTAGAAGGGAGGAATGTGTGCGGTCTTTTATGCCTAGAATGTTCTTTTTAGTTTTTCTGTGATTTCTTCCAGAATTTGCCAGAATGTAATTGTTTACATGCCATAGCCATTAAATGTATGCAATTTCATAACCGTATCAAATATTAAAAACATTGGAGTTAGGGTTAATCAACCGAAGTTCAAGAGGATGTGACCTAACATTTCTGGGGTTTTCAAAATCACAGAACTGACATTGTTTAATATCCAACCCTCTAAGATCTGCCCGAGATGTCCAGTTCTGCAGAGTCTGAGTTCACACTCATAGGCGTGTCTGAGGCCAGGCCAGTCACTGCTCCTGAAGAATTGAAGAGAGATTTGATCTCTATAACTCAGGTAGTAGTTTTTCAATGTTTTCATACCCGCAAATGTCCACGTGTTATTTATAAGAAGTACTTTAACTTTAATTGTCACTTTATGTTAACCTCCGGAACCGCATCTTGCATTTGCAACGTCCTAGGTACCCTGTTTTAAAATTCATCGAAAAAATACGTTTAACTGATAATGACTGGACATTCATGTTTACTGACACTCGAGGAACTTTGCCTTGCAAATATTATTACCCATAGAATTCCTAGCTTTGATTTAAGAACGCTCTAAATTGGTTTTTGAATGTAAAATCTAATAAAGCTTTTCATTTCATTTCATTTATACTTATATTGACTTAATTTCGCTGCAGGGTCAGATAATTCGTGGGCCTGCCACAAACATCACCCAAACTAAAGCGTCTATCCGTCAGTACCTAGTTTGCCTCAGGAGATTGGCCTTACGGAATGGTAGGTACTTTGAGCCTAAGTGGGTTCAGCAGGCTATTAAGCAAATGAAGTTATAAACAAACGAACGATAAAACGAACGAACGAACAATGTATTAGATTATCCTTTATTATGACCATCCATGCTCTATTAATGTATTTTTCCCCATGACTTTACACAGTCTTAAGTTTGTCGTAATGTGCTACAACAACTGTACTTGTCACAGTGTTTAATAAGTAGATGCACTGACTATCAATGTTTTAACTTCTGTGAAAATCATTACGTAAGGCAATTATTTAAGTCAATAAGTAGCAGCTAACTTTATATTTTCATGCTGAATTCTCAGCTGCCCCTAGCAAGGAGGTGATTGGTTGTTTCACTCGTCTAAGAGATCTGCTGGGCAGCCTATCAGAGGAGGACTTACAGAGTATTGTACGGCACTACTTCAACATGCCTGACCTGCCGTAAGTCGTTATATTCTTGGACTATTTAACGTTTCTTAGACTATCTAATGTTTACAGGACGTTAACTAATTGTCCCATTTACTAGTTTTTGCAGGACGTTAAAAATACTTGTGTTTTCAAATAGAACTGGTCTGTATGCACTGTGTCAACAACTAACAATCCTGACACCTGTGCAGGTTAACAAATCCATGGGGCTTTAGACGTCAGCTTGTGCAGAACAGAAGGATGGTTTAGATGAGAATCCTTACCTCTTTAGACATGTGGTGGTGCATATCGCATTAAGATTTGATCTGTATACAGTGCTGACAATGGACAATACAGTCACCTGTGTAGATGGATGACTTCCGTTGACAATAAACGAATCCAGCTGTAGTCATCCCTTAAACCAGGATTTTTAAAGATAACAATTATACTGGGTGTCGTTCCTATACACATGGCCTTTGTTGTTCTTGTGTTGCCATTGTAATATCATGTATCACATTTTACACGACCAGTTATAACCCCATTCCACTTTGCGGCGCTCTCACGGCGCTCTATCTGCGACCTGAATTTGTCCAGAGCGCGGAGAGAGCGCCGAGCTCCACGGAAAACGTGCTCAAATGGAATCTCTCCGGCTAGCTCTCTGCGCTCTCTGCGGGACCAGAAAATTGAAATGTCAACAACGTTTATTGGCGACTAACGATTTCACAGGTCACTTAACGAATAACGGTAATAGGGAAAGGAATTTTGTTTCTTTTATTATTGTTACAGTCATTGCGGCGCTCTCACTGCACTGTCTCTGCGACCTGAAATTGGCCGGAGCGCAGAGATCACCAAGATCGCCAAGATTTACTGTTTAAATCGATGCCCTGTGCTCTATTATGCTCTTATGCGCTCTTATGCTAAATGAATGGATGTATGGGTGGTTGTATGGGATGGATGGATGGATGGACGGATAGATGGATGGATGGATGGATGGATGGTTGGTTGGTTGGTTGGTTGGTTGGTTGGTTGGTTGGTTGGTTGGTTGGTTGATTGGTTGGTTGGTTGGTTGGTTGGTTGGTTGGTTGGTTGGTTGGTTGGAAAAACGGATAGATTAATGGATGAATTGATGGAAAGATTGATGGATGTGCTAAAATGAGGCTGGCTTTCTGGCATAACTCAGACCTTCAAACCTCCCGCAAGTCACCCCACCC